CACACACTTTTTGCATGTATATGGACTTACGCAATGTAAATGTCACACGTATGTTATAGATGACTTGCAAAAGATATTGAAGCAGATAGAGGAAGCTGGTACTCCGGAAGATAGAAAAATGCCGATTGCGAGACTCGATGAAATCATAAGGTTGGCGACGATAGCCGCGGATGAATGCGACTTCGGTACTTGCTTGGAACTGGGACACGACCTCTTCTCGAACGGCGGCATTCACGTACAAGCTAGAGCTCTGCAAATGCTATCTATCGCTTACACTCATTTAAAAAGGCCACAACTATTGAAAATACTTGAAGCACATTTGAAGAACAGGAAGAAGGATTGTGAATTAAGTGTAATTTAAAAAAAACATAAGACGGTTATATATATATTTACAGGGTGTCCTACTGCATTTCCTCTTAAGAACGTATCCTTGAAGTAATTTTGAGACGAATATCCTGGTACGAAAATGTCGAGACTACAATAATTTTTTGAATTATAAGCTAACTTTAAATGCTTATAAATAAAAAATCATTTTACTTTTATAGCCTCTATTATTATTTCTGGATTCTTTTGAACATTCTAAGACGAAAATCCTAATACGAAAATATCGAGGCTATAATAGTTTTTGAATTACAAACTATCTTTAACCAATTATAATTCTAAAACTATTGTAGCCTCGACATTTTTGTATTAGAATTTTTGTCTCAAAATTACCTCAAGAATACGTTCTTAAGAAGAAATGCGATAGTTGTGGAACTTCCTGTATATATGGTATTTTTTTTAATCAAACGGATCACACACGCATACATCACACATATGACTATGCACTTTCTGGAAACTGATGTCATGCTGCAAACAAAATAAATAAACAATAAGATAATTAAAGATAAGATAATATAATAATTAAATATAAGATAAGATTCGTGTGTACTTAAGCAAATGAAGAAAAATCAAAATTATAAACGAGCAAAAAATGAAGTTAGAAAAGAACTAATACATATTCTTCAAATCTACATATAAGTAATTGAAGATTACGAGTTTGCTGCTTCCATCCCAATGGAATACTGTGTGGGAACGGCAAACTTTTAATTACTTTAATTATAAATTTGAATAAATATATATTAGTTTTTTTATTTTATTTTTTGCTTGTGTTTATCATGATTTTTTTCATTTGCTGCAAATTACTCCATTTTATATGTATAAGGTATATGTTATGTATATGAAAATGTAATTACATTGAAAATTCATATATCCTAAAAAATTTTCAATATTTGAAATTTAAATAAAATTTGTTTAGGACGATATTTACAAAGCGAGCAATGATAATTATGAAATAATCAAAATGCAGATGTAATATTTTTCACTGACAAAAGTAACAAATTTAAAAAAGTTATAAATACGACAAGATGTTAAAGATAGAAAATAAAATATTTAATCTGAAAAAATTATTAATTTTATTAAAAAATTATCGCATATTTTTATATAGTACATCCGATAGTACATAATCTAGGTACGTTTGCGTCGCTTAAAATCCTCAACAATTTTTACACTTAAAATGAGGTAGATATTTAGGCGTTGAAAAGAGAGAAAGCGAAAATGCCAAGTGCAAGCAACGCGAACAGATCTTCTGTCGGTAGCCGGTAGTGAAAAGTTTCAGGTTGGCGACACTGCATGTCAGAGTATTCAATCACCACACCGCACTTCACAGTGCATTCGAGCCAATTCGAGTTTCGAGTGTTCGACGTTCGTCGTGCCACGACGAGCGCGCAGTGGTGTGCAGTGGCGTGACACTGTGCGCGACAGTGCGTACGTGCGTGCGCGTTCCGCCCGTGGTATCAGCAAAAATATGCAAAAGTATGAGAAGCTCGAAAAAATAGGAGAAGGTGAGCTGTTTGCGGTTGAAGTTGCGGGAGATGAACGTCGTCCGGCGACGCAGTATCGTCGTCGTTACCGACGTCGCCCGCGTCGTCTGGCGACGCGCCTTGACTCGTCTCCCGGTGTGTGCGGTGTGCGTCGTGTCCCCTCCTCATCTGTGTTCCACTCTTTCTGTCAACGCAACAGCAATACCGTATACCATTAAATTTTCGAATCGGTTTTTTTAAATTTCCAGGCACTTATGGCACCGTGTTCAAAGCCAAGAATCGCGAGACGCACGAAATCGTCGCGCTGAAGCGGGTGCGACTGGACGATGATGACGAAGTAGGTAGTGCTTATCCGATCTATCTTTTTCCCTTTCTTTTTTTTTCTTCTCTTTCGCACAAATCCCCCTCATCGCAATCCCCACCTGCTGTTTTGCCGCGACACCGGCGTTCCGATTAATTTAATTAATCGATCGCTCGCGTACTTTATTTATAACGCGTCGCTCGCCTCGTGTCGCGTCGAAAATAAATCTTCACGACGAAGGCCGGCGCGATTTCCTTGATATCAGCGTCTTATCGCTTGTGTACTCTTTATACCCAAGGGTGTACCATCATCAGCTCTACGGGAGATCTGTCTTCTGAAGGAACTCAAGCATAAAAATATAGTTCGTCTCTATGATGTGCTGCACAGCGACAAGAAGCTCACCTTGGTATTTGAGCACTGTGATCAAGATCTCAAGAAGTACTTTGATAGTCTAAATGGAGAAATTGACTTGGACGTCGTTAAATCATTCCTGTGAGATGCTTGTTTTCTGAATTCATCCCACTGTGGGTAACTCTTTGTGGAAAAATACTATTGGAACAAATAGTTAACAATATTTGATTCGAATAATTTTCCAATTATTTCCAATAGTTTTTTCACAGGTATAACAGTATTTTTCCATAAAGGAAGATTGACAAATTCACGTTCCCTTTCAGATATCAATTGTTAAGAGGACTAGCATTCTGCCATAGCCGTAATGTTTTGCACAGAGACCTTAAACCACAAAACTTACTCATCAACAAGGTAGAAATGCAATTACCAAACTTTTATATTTGTGTATTTTTACAAAAATTCTTTTATAATATATTTAGATAAATATTTTTTTGCAGAGAAAATTTCTTATTACTATTTTATGTTTGTCTATTAAATCAAAGTATTCTTTACAGAACGGGGAGTTGAAACTTGCTGATTTTGGATTAGCAAGGGCATTTGGTATCCCTGTAAAATGTTACTCCGCAGAAGTTGTTACATTATGGTACCGTCCCCCGGATGTTCTTTTCGGAGCGAAATTATACACAACGTCCATTGACATGTGGAGCGCGGGATGCATATTCGCCGGTAATTGTCCCATCTTTTGTTCCTTATGAATTAAAAAGTCAAATATTAGTAAAACTTTTTATAATCAATATTATGCACAAATATTTACGAATCTATTTAATTAAATATTACGAATTTGTTTAATTTAATTTAATTAAAAATTTTTTTACATAAGCTTTTAATTTTTTTTAGTGTATTTTAGTATATAAAGAATAACATATCGATATTTTGTCTTGATATGTTACAGAATTAGCGAACGCCGGCAGACCGCTTTTTCCTGGATCAGATGTAGATGATCAATTGAAAAGAATATTCAAAATGTTAGGCACACCGACTGAAGAGACGTGGCCAGATTTAACGACACTTCCTGATTACAAACCATTCCCGCAGTACCACCCCACGCAAGGATTGGCACAGGTTACACCTAAACTCACTTCAAGAGGCAAAGACTTACTCCAGGTAAATCATCGTTTATTTTAATCATTGAAATAATAGAATTGCATAACATAAATTCAGAGAGATCCGAGTTCGAATCTTGGTTGAAGTGATATTTTTCTCAATAAGATATTTATGGGTTTTAAAGATGCTAATAGCATTATTATTAAATCAACGAAAGTAATTTAATTGTGAGATTTCAGTTTATGATTTTGTTTAGTCTGACAAACCGAATCGACACACAGTATAGAATTGATAATTGTATTTGTATATTCATATATAAATATTACTAATTGTTAGTATTAAGATTTGTTTTGATAAAAAAAATGGCTTTCTTCTTTTTTATTAGTACTTAAACATTTCTGGATTTCATTTAATATTGTTTATTAATAGTTATTTAGTATATTTAATATTTTTATAGAATTAATAAATTATATAAAGAATATATTAATATATATTTAACATATACAAGCACAATCAAACTCTATCAATAATAATAAATTTACAATAATATAACAATTTATAACAAAGAAAAATGAAAAAAGTTAACGGAAGTATAAATATAATAAAGAAAAAAATTTCTATATAATGTATGCACAAAAGAACATCTCAATATTATGATTCAAGCCTTCGTTTAAAAATACTGACAACACAAATAAAAATTTGAAAGATAAAAAATCGTTTCCCTAAACTTACTCTATTTTTTTTTAAATAGAAAATCGAAAAATTACGTTTACTATCTTCTAAAATTAAGCAGTAACAAGCTCTTTTATTTGAAGTCCTGATTTTTAATTGTATGATGTTTTCTGATTAATAGAGATTATTAGTGTGTAATCCGGCTCTACGGCTGTCGGCGGAGGAAGCGATGGCACATCCATACTTCAACGACTTGAACCCTGTCGTAAAAAACGACCGATGCCAATAGCGAGTCAACCCTCTTAGCTCAAACCAACCAAAAGCAAATTATGGCGCGTACAACACGCAGCGACCAAAAAGTGTAAAGGAAAACGCTCTGGCAATGATCATTTGTTAATATTACGCGCTCGGACGAGATAATCGTCCCTTACGACAAGAAGAAGACACCGATGAGTCTTGTCATTTTATAATGACGAGAAAGAATTGATAAATCGTTAATTTTATCTTGACGGTAACTTCTTTATATCGAAAGTAAAAGTCAACGGAAAAAAAAGACGCGATATTTCGTATGCTGTCGCAGTCGCGACTGATGAATATGAGGCTTTCATGCGAGTTTGAGGATATTAAGCGCGATTTATTTATTATTAAATTATTATATCAATAAACCGATATCTTAAATAAGCTTTAATTATTGACCTTATTCCTCCTTTTCCTCTTATTATATTAATTTTCCTACATCGCGTCGAAGTGAAATCTGTGCGCTTCCTGGAGCCTCTCGATTTTGTCTTCTCTCCTCTCCTTCCAATACAAACCGAGAATTAAAGACGTGATCAAAGCGCAGGTGCCAGATAAAGCTGCTGCGCTCAGTAAAATTAACTTGCTGGGTGTAACGAATAGCTGAGCCTTCCATCTCGATGGTTCAGCAATCGGATTCGGTATCACGACCATCTGTGAATTAGGAATAATTTGCGGCCATTCTCGTGATTTGCCGCCAACCTGAAAAACCAATATATATTTTTAAAATATTCTATCATTTAAAATTTAGTAAAATCGAGTTACACCATAAATGGTAAGTAATGTTGGATTAGTAATAGACTGTTGTATATGTGTATATCTTAAATTGCACTAAATTATAAAATTTCTGTTTCTCAATATATGAATAATTATTATGTATTTTTAATTGCTTAAAAAAATATAAGGTTAAAAAAAGTTCCATTATCCACAGATTTTGAAAAATTAGCACTATTTTTGCAAAACTAGAAATTTACAGCTTTTTTCACTTTACGGAATAAAATACTTAAGAATCATCATTCAAGTATCAAGAAATAGAAATCTTGTAATTCAGTGCAAATTTGCGTTGTTACATAAGAAATTCAAAGCAGATTTTTAAAAATTAAAGAGTGATGGAATTTTTTGAAAAACACTCTTTTTCAGTGTAAAAAATCCTGCAAGAAATACTCATTATTTGTTACGAAACAAAAAGATGATCAAGTTCCTCAGTGTAATCCTCTTTACATAGCAAAAACTCTCTAGTCTTAATTTTAATTAATATTAGTGTAATCAATAATTTTGCTTGTGATTATAATTTATTAGTGTAACCGATAATAGTTTTAAAAGTCAAACGCTTCTATATTTTCATTACACGTACCCCTATCGTGAGAGCATCCACAAAATTGGGCGTTCTTCCTAAACCGAAGGTGGTGTACGGCAAATTAAGCGAGAAATGTGCGCTCTGGGGTAATTGCGCTGCAATTGCGTTGCGAGGGCTACCATCCTGTGTGGTGGTTCTGTATGCAATTGACGGTCCCGGCAAATTGGTGCCGTAGGTCCTCTTTTTTTTACCGAGCGAACCTGGCGAGATGGGATACATGCTGTTGGTGCGTCCAGTGAGCACCATCACCTTAACAAAGTTCGCGTCGTAGTCCAAACTGTTCTTGAACGCCGCGGTGCGATAGACGTTGTTTGTCTTGTCAAATTCGACTAAGATCACGTCCAAAATGCCGTCCTGATAAAAATCATAAAACACTGCCATCGCGGTCTCGTTGTAGAACGGATTCAGTGCCTGCCATTTGACATCGAAAGTGCGATTGAAGCCGGCGCAGTTATTGCACGCCACATTTTGTAATAAAAATGATTGCGCCTGTTTTGCAGACTGCAGAGTCGCTAGCAAATCTGGATAGCCATCCATGTTAAAGTCGCCACCGCGTAGAGTGATAGTCTCTGTGTAACGATGACCATTAGGCTTCACGAAACCCCACAAAACGTTATTGGGGTCATGGAAGTTCACTCGTAGATTGTACCATCCATTCAAGTACATCATTATCGTACAATTGGTACAGGCCGCATCAAAACACAATGGTAGAAGGAGAGCCATCTTTCCGGTCAGCTCGACATCCAGATAAAGAGTCTGTCCAAATTCTCCTTTGAAATTTTTATCGACTGATATATTATATGGAAGATCTATCTCATGAGAAAATTCGAATCCTTTTTCTGTGCCTAACCATATCTCGAAGGATTTCTTCGTGGTTACTACGAGATCCGGCAAAAAGTCACTGTTCCAATCCAGAAAGGCATTGGAATGTGGGTTTCTTACGGGCTCCAGCGGCATCGAATTATCCTTGAGCATCTCAACGGTATGTGGAGTGGTTCTATTTTCATTAAATATCCAGAACATCCTTCTGCCTTCTTTGTCCACTCCAAAGAGGTCGATTATCATGTCTTGATTGTAGTCCAATGCCAATGGCTGATCGCGCATCTCTATAAAGGGATTCCATTCATTGCTGCAATTCAGATGGCCGTTACCACCCCACAGTATGTGAGCATAAGTGAGCTTCTTGTCACGGTTGAACGTCGTCACCAGGATGTCCATGAAGACGTCACCATCAAAATCACCTGGTACTATACTGGTTACATGATCTTTAAACAAACAATTCAGGTCTGGCTTGGGTCGTAGCAATGGTTCCTGCTCAGCCGCCAGGAATATTTCCACCGTCTGATTTTTTTCACCATCTTTGCGTAGCATAAATACGTCTGTTAACTCGTCGGAATTGAAGTCTCCAAACGCCGCTGGCATGCCATTCAGCACATTCCCAAATACGGCAGGTGTTATATCGCTGCATCTGGCTATCGAGATGAGTGCGATGAGGTGGACAAACGTTTGAATCCACAGCATAATTCACATTCCAACAAATGATCTACGATAATTATGTATCTTAAGAATACAGAGTGATAGAATAATTACTTTGATACCAGCATTGAGACATTTTATGTAACAATAACGCGATCTGATGTATATAAATAATCCAATAAATAATTCAATTTAAATAATGATAAAGAACAAAAATAAATAGGTAGTACAACATTTGTAATAAAATCTATGAGTGGAACAGTTGTCTGAAGAGAGAGAAGGTGAGAAAATATTTTTTCACCTTCAAGAATATAATTGGTGTTTTTGTATTCAATCTACTGGATAGTTCTTTCTGCATTGCAACAGTGAATTAGTTTTGTCTTTGAAAAATAAGAATGTTAACGATAATAAATGAAAGATATTACAAAGATATTAACAAATCAGTGCTATAAAAAATTATGGACTATTATATTAATTGGAGAGTATAGCGCTGTCAATCAAAATGTCTTTCAAAATCGAAAGTTTTATAAGATTAGCAAAATAATATATTTACTTTACAATAATCTCAGAGACATATAATTAAATATGAATGTCTAAAAATAATATTCTGCTCTCTCAATTTTCTAATTACGATGAGTAATAAGATTGAAGAGGTGATATCATTTTTTTATCTGTGCACTTAACCTTAAAATTAATAATAAAGAACTGCGAATAGATACAGACAACAAAATAAAACGGTAGCAATATTCGTTCATAAATTAAAATAATCGAAAAATATGACAGACTGACAAACAAACATACCTGAGGAATGTACAACGCATTAGTTCATCACTTAAATATGATGTATTTGTATGTCCGACATATCTGACAATCACAATGAACGATAAGTGGTGGAAGGAACTCAACTCTTGCGCATTTCTAACAGCCAATGAGAACGTGACACCATACGCTGCCATGTTGCTGTGGTTATTTGAATCAGACATTATGTAATTATTATTTTACTTAATTTTGTGTTTTTAATTATATTTGCAGCTTACAATATATAATATAATGAATTTGGTTTTATCTTTTGTCACAATAAAAATTAATTTTCCTCAAGCTTCTTCCCACTTTAATATTAACGCTTTCATTTTTGAGAAGCGATAAAAATGTATATTCTTCTTTTCGATGATCATTTTTATTTAGCAAGTACTCATTTTTACTCTCGAGCTGTCACATCATAATTACCGCGATACAAATGTATGAATGATTAAATAATTAAAATTCAAAATTGAATTTTCTTGATTTATTTATTTAATATAACATAATTTTATTTCATTTGAAACACAAAAATTTAGCACAAAGTAATATATATATATATATTGTGATAAAATAATTTAAATTAATTTTTTTCAATTAAATAATCAAATTATACTCTTTATGTTGGATTTAATGGATCTTATGATAAGCAAAATTAATTTGGCATGTAAGAAGCAGAATGTTTCGGTATGAATTTATATTATAAAGAATTAAATATTTCGTTTAGTAGCTTTGTTGCGTATTATACGTTAATATTTAGACAATTAGACGATTAGCGCGCGACCTTGGTGTTTAAGATCTAAAAGAGCTACGAGAAACGAGAGCAAACGAGAGCATACTTACGTTTTTGTGTTTGAAAAAAATCGTTTTTGTTAAATAATATAACAAACGATTTTTTTCAAACTCAAAAATTTATTAAAGCATTTATTATATTTGAGTTTGAACACTCTCTTTATCTGATTATTCTTTTGACATTTTAATCACCTTTCAGAGAGCTCAAAATTTCAGACTCAGAAATTTTTGAAATCACGATTCTTGAATTTTGATGTCAGTTGCTTATCCCCGATCATATTCTCCTGATACATACTTTTCATATTTCCGAGAATTTATATTTTTTTTACAGAAATAAGAACGTAAGAAAGTAGAAAACGTTTTCAGAACGCATAAATAATGTTTTAGTTAGTATAATCCAATATAATGTAGAAATGTGATTGTATGTTTTCATATAATCGGACATATTTTCAAACATAAACACTACGTGATTAATTATTATTCCCTAACATAAAATATTTAAAAATTATAAAAACAGTAGAATAAAATAGTATACTGGTTTAATTTTTGCCGCAAATTTATCAATAAAACTGTTTGACAAATCTACTTAATAATTTGTGCTGATAAAACACGAGCTAGTTGATGCTAAACTGCTGCAATATTGAACGAATCTGCTACTAAATCGACATGCTATTAATATTTTACGTCTCAAGGAGACATAAATATTTTTTTATAAAAAAGTATTAATAAAACTATAATAACAAATAGCTAACAATAATATTTTATGATTCTTCTTTTATTTACTTGCAGTTCTATTATCACATATGTTTTACAATCCCAACAATAAAAACATATTTAATGGTGTAACATCGCATCGTGTGTGTGTATGTGTGTGTGTGTGTGTGTATTGTCCTATGTACAATATGTATAAATATTTGTATAAAAATATGTGTTTGCATAATTTTGGATTAAATTACTTGATCATCTAGTGTTGGGGTAACTTTTTCGTTATATCATCGAATTTGTTTCCGGTTTACATTTATAATTGTTGTATTAAACGCGTTACGCTACATCAAAATTGTGATACAGTATAACTTTCAATTTCAACATTTCTTAAATTTGCATGAAAATTTGCATACTTGTAAAAGTTTGAAATAACATTCGCAAATATTTTGACATTTTTTTGTTAGAGTAACGCAAGAATTTATTTTATTTTAGACATTTATTTATAAAAAGAAAAACAAACGCTACTTGTCAAAGGCACTTTTAAATACACGATCACAAGACGCTCGCATCGATTTCCTTCTAACAATTAACGTGTGTTAGTAAATTTATTTTTGAAATTTTTGTATAAAATAACATAATTTTTGTAAAATTACAAGACAAATAAGCCAAACAAATGTTTTTAATACATGTTATTTAATAATTCTTTTAATTTTTAAACAATTCGATTTTTTCAGATTTATCCTTGCAAATGTTTTGCGCAATTACGTATTTCATTAGGTAGTGATTACTACACTAATGTCAATTATATAACAAATAAATAGCCTCGATATTTGAGACCGAAAAAGAAATTACTGCCGTCACAATTATTATTCGGTTAGTGCAGTTTAAAAAAAAGAGAGACTTATCAATTAAGGAAAAAAATGTGATTCTACTATACAAATGTGATCATTCAGTTTGACAATTTCTATTTTTTAATAAGATGGAGATAAAATGGATCTTTTTTGTTCTTTGTAAACGCTTCATAAATAACTACGAGCAATAACTCATCTAATATCTATAACTTAATAAGGTTGCTACGCGCAGATATCTACAATATGTATAAACACCATTGTTGTATTGTATACACTGTGCTGTTCGTGACATTATATGTAAAGACCTTTGGCTTCTCCTTAGCCCTATGACAAAACAGGATTTGTCGTTATTATTACCTCTTTTACATAGGTCATGCAATACAATACAAAATGGCAGTAGTTGCAATAAAAAATGATGTACTAAAAGAAGATGAACGATGAGGATTTTTACTCTAATACTGCTGCCATAAGTTTGTCAAGTTACAAACAAGAAATCTATGTTGAAGATAAGCGTTGGGAAACACTACGACAGATTCTTCCCTGGTATAATCATTGTAAATTTATTAAAATCTAACATACGAATCTTAGCAAATATATCCCATTTTATAAAAATAACAAAACCGTCAATGTGTTGTTAGCAAAGTGGAAGACTGAGATTAAGTTTTATTTAAATGTGGAACGACTGCAGAGATGTCCAAATTAATGGAGAGCTCATTGTGCAAATCGATATTTACATTTATCGGGATATACAATATATTGATTCTATCAAAGTTTATATTACGCAAGAATAACAATACCGCAATCACAAATGAGTATAAATTAACGTCGTATCTAAAAAGCATAATCTATTTCTTTTACACTGATATTCATTTATATATTCAAGCAACAGTGATATACACAATTCAAATTTGAATATTCTTAGATAGATAATTTTGATATACAGTTAAGACAATTTTGTAAATGGTTTTTGTAATCTCGTTAAAATTATATTCGCTTTGACTTATTTGTCATGACATTTTCAGCAGTTTTATGGAAATTCGCTTATCTGCAAGCAATAGTTTTCATTTTTTTATTCCTTTTGAGAATCATCTCTCCCATCGTTTCTCTAGCATGCCAGTTCTTAAAGTGCGATTTTCTAATTCTACATAATACATGAAATTATTATGTAAAAATTGATAAATTATAAAATACAACAAATGACGCGAACCGAAGCTTATAATAGTAACTTGGTTATGAGTATATTCTATATATATTTTCTCTCCCTTTCCTCTCTCTCTCTCTCTTACACACATACAAATTATCTTTCACACAAAACACGATATGATATTAAAGCGATTGATGTACAACTTTTGCAATCCAATACAAAAGTATGAAGATCTACAAGGCGAATTGACATAATTATTATGAAAAATTTTATATCTTTACGATAAAAAATATACAGTTGTGAGATTAACTTAAGTGTCTTAATGTAATCGCTTGTCTCGAATGGCTAAATAAAGGAAGGGAATGAATACATGCATAAACAGAAAGGACCAAGTGGACACAATCGTCACGTCGTCAGTGTCCTCGTATCACCACTGATCTTATAAATAAAATATTCGCTTGTCAATGTTGAGTCTCGTTCACGATTTTTACACTGTCTAGTTGATTTTTCTCGTTTTTGTCGTCATCCTTATCTGGATTGTCCCATGCTTGCCTTTGCCCAGAACCGAAAATTGCATAAAATGCCGCACAAAAGATGTAAACACCAGCGCAGATCATAAATACAATCCTCCACTTTGCTTGTGATGGCTGAAAATATTAACATGATATAAATAATATTGTATTTAATTTCAATAATATATATATATATTATATATATATATATATGAGTATATACACACACACACACACACACACACGCACACGCACACTTACCGATTTAGCAATCACCTCTCCAACAGTAATCGGTGCGAGAAGTCCAGCGAGATTAGCGATACAATTTGTGAAGGACATTAAAATTCCAGCAAATCTCGGAGAAATGTCGAGGTGATTTACTTTAAAACCAGAATAAATAGCACCATTCAAACCGACTCCCAATGTAATAATGGTTACTGTCAACCAAGCATTGCAACCAGTATACGAAGCTGCTATCAATGCCAAGGCCGGTGCAAATTGGCCGATGCTGTTAACGATCTTGCGAGTTACAGTGTGAGTAAATCTTCCCGAAGAGATCATCCAATCAGCGACATGAGAGATAAACATGGAGAAAAGCCACATAGCAAAATACGGAAGTGCCGAATAGATACCATTCTGAAATACAATAAACGATAAACAAGTTTCATATAGAGAAGACTCTTCTCTCCAAATTTTGAATTTATCATGAATAACATTACTCACTTTTTTGATACTAAAGTGAAGAATCTGTTTCATAAATGTCGGAAGTTGAGTCATCAACGTTTCGTACCCATAATTTTGACCCATGTGCGCCATTAAGATAGCCCAAAATGGTAACGAAGTTGCAATGGACTTCCATGGTACGGGAGGTGACGACTAAAAGAAGAAAGAATATTAATTTTCTCAACTTTGCTATTAATATACTTCGTGCCGTACCAATTTTAGATGATTTATCTACCATGCCGCGTGAGTCACCGATGACTTATAGTATTTTTGTTTGTATAATATTTATATTTGTTAAATAAAATGTATTTCATAATAATTAAAAAATTACAAAAATTGCTATAAGAAAAATCTAATGTACCTATATTAAATCATAAATTAACCGGATCCTACATGGCCCAGTAGACCCAATATGACCTATTCGCTGTTTGTGGATAATTACACAATAAATTCAACAAATAGTATTAAGGCAATAGTCTTAGTTTTTACTTACTATTTTTTCTTTAAATATTCATTGCATCCATGTAAATATTTGAATATGTCTCATATTTTTTTAATGTTCAGAAATGTTTTTTCTTTAAATCTATCAAATTTTTCAATTTTGGACTTAGCAAAAAATTAGAAAAAAATTACAAAGCTTAGGTAGGCCATATAGAGTTGATTATCTTCATTATAATTATGTATCCACACATAAGATAGATATAAAAAATTACAAGTATATTTCTTTCTATAATTAAAATATCAAACGGTTTGAATGGTATGTTTAGCATGAGTTACCGATGATCCACACGGCACGAAATGTCTTAGAAGAGATTTGTTATTATAAAAAACGAGAGATTAAGATAAATATTCGGTTTACATGATAAATTGAGATAAATATTCGGTTAATTCACATAGCAAAAAATATATATGAGAAAAGAAACTCACGGATATGCCGGCGCTACCCCATAGAGAGCTGAGTATGAACTTCTTCTCGTCTTCAGCGATGCTTGGATGTTGTTCCGGATCCTCATAGACCCATATGAGAAACGCTATGCACCAGATGGTACCAATAATACCAAACACGTAGAAAATGGATGGCCATCCACCTACTAATTGCCAATCGGCCAATAAACCGCTCAACGGCATTGATATTATCGTGCCGAACTGTGCACCTATCGATGTGAAGAGAGAGAAAAATACAAAAAAAAACATGATTAGTTATCATTATCGGGCGTTCGATCCTCCTCATGCTCTTTCTCTTTTTACCAACGAAAAAAAACCTTGAGGGAGTGCATGGTTAAAAAAGACGATAACTCAAGAAATTGAAAAGGCCCACGGTCCACGGTCCACAAATCCCGTCGCAGCAAGAAGCGCGCGTACACACAGTAGCGACTCGATGCATCAAAATGCCCCAGAGACAGAGAGGAGGATTCTCGCGTAGCGAATTAGCTCTCGATTCGATACACGCGATAAATCGCTACATAAAGGAAGAAAAAAATCGCATTGAACGGGCTTACCGGCATAGACAAAGGCACCCATCCTGCTCCGCTCGTTAGGTGGTATCCATTTCGCCAGCAATGCGTGTGTGCAAGGCACAATAGGACCCTGCAATAGGGATTAATCCATTCCTAGGGGGAAGGAAATACACCCGTACAATCAAAAAACGTTCACACTCAAACGGATCAGTAATCCTTTAAGCTTATGACTATAATTACTTATATTATTAATTATTATATTATTATATGTTAATGTAATAGTAATGCTAAAACTAATATAAATCTTTCTCTGCAAATGTATACACACAGAGATTCTTATCTTATTAATTAAAGTTTGTCAGTATAATGTATAATGTAGAAAACAAGAACTAAAATAAAAGACAAATAATAATGACTTTGTAATGAATGTATATCTGTTTATCAAATTTTTTCTATGTTAATTGTGAACTTTATACTTACGAACGAATGAAAGTTGTTTGCAAAATATATATTTGGACAACAGATAACCGATCCCGAAACATCACACATTCTCATCTTCGCTCGCTCTTCTCGATCAAACTATTACGTGTTATAATAGCAAGGGATTTTCGAAATTTGTTACTTACCTCTCCTAAACCCTGAATGAAGCGAACGATTATCAGCGGCCAATATCCCCAATACGCGGATACTGGTACTAGTAATCCAAAAAGCGAATTGATCAGCATGCCGATTCCGAGGAAGTATTTGGCACCGTAACGCTTGGCAAGTATACCAAATGGTATTTGCGTTATAACGTAGCCCCAAAAGAATGAACTTAAGAGATAACCTTGTTGCTTGTTGTCCCATACAAATGGTCCGTCGGCGCTCTGCAAAGACAAAGGCATTTTTGACATTTTCTTCACATAAACTTTCTCGTAATCTTCTTGAAAAAAAAAAAAAAACCATAAAATTTTGTGTTGTGAACTTACGCGTTCAACAGCGTCGGTTTCATTGGTAACCTCTCCGCATTTATCTTCGATTTCTAACATCTCATCGTTGTTCGTGATAGCTGTATGATTGACCATCGCGACGATAGCAACAGACATATTGGTCCTCATTATATAGGCATTTGCCATACCAAGAAATATCATGAAAGTCACCATGTGACGTTTCCCAAACCGGACTGAAAGAATAAAGAAACGTATTGTTAAATTGCGGTAACGATAAATAAGGGCAACACAGACAAAATGTTATGTAATATCTCGTATTATATTATACTCAATATCTTTATTCATTAACAATAAATCTGCATGTCTAATTTTAATTACTGAAAGTTTCAATTTCTCTATAGAAATTGTTTCTAAAAATATAATAAGATATTGTTTATCACAATTATGCATCTTTTCGTTAAAAATATTTGAGTAACTAATAGTAAGCTTTAAATTAAAATTCTCAAGATTTCAGTCGCAGGAATTTCCATTTGAGCAAAATCGATTTCAGACTAAAATTTGGTATAACTTAAGAGTAAAATATATGTGTAATGCTAAAAGTATTTTATCTTATATAATGCACTGTTATGTATAACAGTATACTGTGTATATTACATGTTTTGTAGCACTAGAATACACGTGCCGTCTAAATATTATTGTGATAATTGGAACAAAGACATGTATGGCGCGCATCGTTAATTAACACTCCTGAAATATTCACCAAAACGTGTCCTATAACTGCTAATATGCATTAGTAGATACTCTGCCAAATTTTCACGGAAATAACCGAAGGACGAGTCGCGGGACCAATGCCGAGGTGAGAGTTACGCCAAAAAAGACTCTGACATGAGTTAATTGAGTTACAAACTATAATCAACGGAAACATTGCTAACAAATACAGTATCTATATAAAAGTCATGTGCAGACGTCACAAAAGTCTTATTTCAACAAATAATTTTGCCGTTCTTAGAATATTATCCGATAATGTTTCGCGGCATAAAATAATTTTAAGCTAAATCAATTTATATATTCTTTATTTCAAATTTTTTAATTTATATTTGAATTCGAAATCTTGACAGAAAGACCAACGTCAGCCTGCAATTTATAAGCAAAGAAAAATAAACTATTGAAAACACAAGATTTCTTTCTTTATATATATTCAAGTTGCAGAATGATATCAGTTTTATTTTCAAGGATAGACCAAAATTCGCGCAAATTTCATATAAATTTCTTGAGAATTTTCGTCATTTCGCAACGGAATTGTTGAGTTTTTGCGCAGCAATCAATGAACGTGAGTCATTAGATTGTAATCGGTTATATGATATGTAAGACATGTAAATGCCGTGTCGTGCGTAATGACTGTCTGCGGGTTTCATTGTTACAATTAACAAAGATTCGTATGAATTACAAAGTACAAAAGTCTTAAAACATTTCACGTTGATAAACTACGATCTATGTTATATTTGATCAAAGTCAATGTAAGAAGATCAAATTTGCCATCGCATCATTAATTGATCAATGATTGGTACAAAGATGCGACGAATAAGATGTCGAGTGGGTGCTCGTGTGTGTAATTCAAGTGTGTCATGATAAATGTTCGTGAAAAAGCATGTTAAGATATTGTATGTCTTCGTTATATAGAGTATGTACATAAAGAGCTTCGAGTAATATTCCATGAGTTTGAAATCACGTCAGTAGTGACATAATATATGAAGCGCACCGTTTTAGATTTATGACAATCTTTTTTATTTATAATCTACATTTTGTGTTATCGATATCATCGTTATCATCCAGAAGATCCCTTTTTATATATAGCGTGAATTTTTGTATATTTACTTTTACAGATAAAAATGCACCAGAGATAATAATACAATTTTTTTTTAATTATAATTTTTAATATATTTATATTACAATTCTAAAGATTGTGACTAAATCTATTTCAATGATAAAAAGGTCGAAGAAGATCAAAGTTAAAATTAAAATAAACGATACTCTCATATTTGCTCGATAAATTAGAAAATATGCAATCGCCAGACGTTTGCTATTTAAAGATTACTGCTTTGAAAAGACGATTCTTATTGACTTATGCGAATCAGAACTTCATCTCGTCTTATTTAATCAACTTTAAATGAGTGCCCATAGTCTAAATCGCTGCAATCGATTCTATTTGATCCTAGCGAGAAACCTTTTGTACGATACGCGAATCATCGTCAACTGCAATGAAACTAACGACATTAGTGAAGAATAACGAGCACTTTATTTTAAAGGGATTGCCAGGCAAGTATGTTTATCACCCATCATGATGTTTATCACCAGCAGTTTAGTACCATGAGTCATACCTCACTGCATATAATCGATAGCGTAATCGCTTACATGAACTTCGAAGGCTGAGTTTAGCTACCGAGACTCTTAAATTTTTTTTAATGCTGTATCTATACGATTGTCATGAGAAAAATCAATTCCTTAACAGAAATCTGCAATCAATATATATTTACTCAATAAATCTCTCTCTCTCTCTCTCCCCCCTCTCTCTTTCGTTGTTTGTAATTTTCCAAGTCCAAGATTTAGCTCCAAATTTTTGTAATAAAGTGATTTTTAAATGAAGCTTACTTTATAAGTAATTTAAAAAATCAACCAAATTCATGAAATTTCTGAGATTTTCTCAAAGCCTAAAAATTATTAACGCTTCGAAAAACAGCAGTCTCCTCATTTACCTATAGATATCTATTATGTCTCTCTATGTATGCAAACGCTTTGTCACAACTTTTTCTACGTATTATGTTAGCAATTACAGTCGCTCCGAGTTTCTGCGTCACACAGAACAAACGAGTCCTCCTTTTTTTCCTTTTGTTTTCTCTCAGTCGATGTTACAAAACTTCACGGCCAATTACACTCGACTTGTACGTCTCTTATCACGCTCAGATTAACACCACATTGCGTTCTCCTAGACGTCGCCGAGAGAGAGCAAACAAAAAGAAAAGCAAATGAAGGGAAATAAGATAGGAGGCGAAAGATCGGTGAAACGTCGCGCCAGATTGATTCGCTTCAATTCACGCAAGTGTTTCTAGGAATAAATTTCGACGCCCACTCACCAAACCAGCTTAAGTCAATTGACATCGGACGACATTCTCATTGCAATTTAAACTGACCAGTTCTCCTGGCCCACGCATAAATTATCTAAAGTCATCACATGTGTTTCTCCCTTCTTTAATTCTTTTTTGTGATGTCTTATCCTTTTAAAAATCAAATGCACGTTATCCGCTATAAAAGAGAATCATTTGCGACTTCACGCATAATAATTGTAAAAAAACATATCTTTCTTCTAATCAATTCTTGTACCTCACGACTTTAAATGTTGTAAGGTATTTAAGCATGTACAGTATTTTATATGTGTGTACAGGAAAATACATTTAAATAATTATAAGAATAATTACTTCAAAAATGTATTTTCCTATTTTTTTGATCAAACGAAACATTGCCGATCATTGAATAGAGAAGAAAAGAAATATTTTTGTCCGATTTTTTCCTAAATGCGCTTTCCCACGTGCTTTACAATTAGCAACTTTACGAGAAAAATTGCGCAAGATTATTCAAAAAGCGCAAGTACTGCGCTATTTATGATCGTAGAACTCTTACATTTGTAGTCGCAAATCGCTAAATTGGAATCAATTATTGTATCAATACGTGAGGTTGCGTTGTTCGAAAACGATCTTCCATTATCTAAGATCAAGCGTTTGACCTTACAATTACGTCAGTAATTCATTGTAGGATTATTAACTAAAGATTGATTAATCAGAAGGATAAAGTCTAAAAGTAGACATTGCTATAATTTTCCATAACTTTCTTAAACATACCGAAAACATTAAAGAAAAAATTTCTATCATGCATTCATACATTATTTAAATTCTTTTTCCTTTAAGTTCAATGATTATATTTATTAATACCTCGCTTATATTTATGATATATGAAATTTATAATTTTATTATTTTTAATTTTGTCTTTAAATTAAAAATCCTTGCATAAAACCGCAATTAATTAAACGATAAGCTTTCTTTTATTTAATTCTTTTTCTATTATTCAGTGTAATCACGTCATAGTCTAGATGTACATTAAGAAGTAGCTGTCTGCTAAAAATCAAAATTCAGACGACATGTACCTAACAATGAGAGAAAAATTTAATTCAAAACTTGTCACAGATAATAATATATTGATAATATAAAAAATTAACAAGATAAGTGTAAAGTATTGAGTTAGATCTATAATAACCTGAAAAGCTCTGTGAAAACGTTTGTGTCTTACGAATCGCTTATACATTTAAAATTAAGGATTCAGAGAAATCATAATAACGAATAATATATCCCAGAAATATACAGTAACAATGAAATACGTTCCCGATAAATTTTTGAAATCATTTCTTTTATAAAACAATTTTTAAGTTGGGAAATTTGGGGGGATTATTAATATTTCAGATTTGATTGCGTTGAAAGTCCGACAACCATATCGGCACGCAATTATAATTTCTGAAATTAATTCATTTAAAATGAATTTAGAATAGTTCAACATCTTAACGTTCAGACCGTTAGTGGCGCTTCTTAGTTTAAAGTAATGTATTTAACACAAGCGGTCTTTCAATCTTATTATCTTTTATAAAAATTTGAATGATTTTCTTTTTCCATAAGTTTCTAATATTAAATATCTTAATTAATTTTTAATTAAAGTTCGAGAAATTAATAATGATTTTATTAGTTGTAACTGCAAAAATTAAATCTCAATTTCAATTTCTTCAGATAGAAAATTCCACTTTCTATCAAATTTATATTTTTAGAAATTTGATAAAGAGACTGTTATATAAAAATTATCTCTTTTTTTACATTCTTGTCTTTCTTTTTTGACTTTCTTATCTTTCTTTTTTTTGATATTTATTATTTACAAGGTAATAATCTCGTGCATGATGTGACTGATGGTTTAATATCATTGTCACATTTGAACTTGCGTAAGTTCCACTTCGGAAGATATCGGAAGGATTATTGAGTAAGAATTTGATAGTAACGGTATAATCAACGGCGAATATTTTATTTAACATATCAATATGGGGGTTGAAGAATTTTCCTATCTTGGATGTGGGGCATGCCAAAATCCGCGGGCGAAATCATTGATAAAATAACCGTCGAGACGAGAGCAAAGCACGTTCGCT